GCTCACGAATAATGGTCCTCGAGCCTAAGCAAACTATATGACTCGAAGACTGTCGTCAATCGCCGTACACTAAAAAACCCGAGGTTGTAAGACCTCAAGTGGGCAGACTCGGTATAACCAGATCTATTTTACATAGAAACAAAAAATGTAAGACCTCAACAGGCATGAAAAACTGTAAGACCTCAACAGGCATGACAAACTGCAAGACCTCAACAAGCATGACAAACTATAAGACCTCAACAGGCATGAAAATTTTGTAAGACCTTATTACAGGCATAAAACTCAATCCCAAAGTTTAGGCTATACATCGCATTTGTAAGAATCCCGAAAGGGCATACCCTCGGTGTAGACGCCTAAACTATCACTCGCGGATCAAAAATGGCTTCGGCTAAACATATATGACTATGGTAAAAACGGCTTCTCCAGCCAAATTGACGCGCTTCGGGGACGCCCAACTGTCACTAACAAAAATGCAGGCCATTACTTCGAATATAATTCGAAAAGAACCGGTTAAAACATGCTTCCCTCAACAAGCAAACGAGCTTCGACCATGTCAGCTCCAAATCACAAGGCTTCGAGCTACTAAGCTTACGAGCTAAAAACCTTTTGATGTGGTCGAACATCGCCGCTATCGACTTGAAATCGAGGTTCTTCCCGAACCGATGACGGGTTAGGAAAAATTATTTCAAAAAGACCTTAACGAGAGGAAAACAAATAGTACAATATACCCATGGGCAAAAGCGTAAAAGCCATTGTCGCTAGCCAAACGAGCCTCCGGGACACACACTAAAAGGTCACAACGACCAAACAGCGTAAGAGCCACTATTGCCAGCTTGAAAATTGAAAACTTAAGGATTAAAATGATCTCGAGTCGCAACCCGATTCGGATACCGGATCTAAAATAGTTAACTACAAAATGCCCACGGGCAAAAGCGTAAAAGCCATTGTCGCTAGCCAAACGAGCCTCCGGGCCACACACTTAAAAGGTCGCTCCAACCTGAGGTGCAAGAGCCATCGTCATCCACCCATGCAAGCACGAAAAAACTTAAGGGTCAATTAAAGCTCGAGTCGCAACGCGACTCGGAGACTGAACCCAAAATAGTTAAAACACAAATGCCCACGGGCAAGGAGTAAGAACAATCATTATCCGCCCATGCAGGCAGAGGAGATTGAAGGACAATTAAGAATAGTTAAAACACAAATGCCCACGGGCAAGGAGTAAGAACAATCATCATCCGCCCATGCAGACACAGGAGATTGAAGGACAGTTAAGCTCAAGTCAAAGCCTGACTCGGAGACTAGGCCTAAACAACTGGACAAAGCACAAAGGCCCTAATGCAACTCGCGTCAATAATCGCACTTAAGAGCCTCCAGGCTTGTCTAGTGAGCTCCGGATCCACAGGGCTCCCGCCAGACACCGAAACCAGCCCGCCTGGTCGAAAGCAATGCAAAAAGAGATACAAAAGAGATAAAGATTCAAGTTCTCTCTTATTTACATACGCAAAAGGCGCGCTCTCCATCTACAAACATGCTCTGCAAATATCAAATACAAAATGGAAAAGCGGCAAAATCTACGCTCTGCTCCAAAAGGTTACAGCCTACCAACCCTAAATTCGCTCTCCATGACGTCAGTAAGGAGTGACCGAGCATCGCGTTCGTCCGCCCTTACTCGAGCCAACTCCTCCGAGAGAACGAAGCCCCTAGCGCCGATCTCTTCAAGTACCTCTCTTTGGGATCTACAACGAATATATTCCTCGATCCTATTCTCACGAATTGAGGGCCCGCTTCAACTTGGCTTGGGCATCATCAGCGTCCTTCAGATGAATCACCATCTCTTGATCAGCCTTGGTCCGACTTAATGTTGCTTCAGCCCGAGCATCAATTATCTCAGCCCTGACCTTCGAGAAATCGGACTCGAGCTTTGCGATCATATCCACTTGAACTGTAGCATTGTCATGAGCCAAGCGGAGTTAGGCCTCGAAGGTGGGAACCTTGGCCAAAGCGCCCATCTCCTCTAAAGCTTGAGCCTGCACCTGAGCCCTCAGTTCACCACAAACATTCCCGATTCGGTCGGCTTCGCCCTTAAGGTACTCTAATGCCTCCATCTTTTTCTGAAGCTAAGATAGGCAAAGGGATTAATCTTAAGGGTCAAACAAAGCGAAATGCGTACTACGAAAGGTTACCTGCTTCATCAAATAGCTCTCGTAATTCGAGCTCCGATACTCCTCATATCTCTAGTGCATCAACTCAACCTCCTTCTCCTTGCTAAGGAGACTAAGGGACTCACCCTCATCCAGAGCTTTCCGAAGCCTAGCCCCATGACGGAGCAGCTCAGACGTGAGCCTATCAAAGGCCTGCAAAAGAAAAACTCGATAAAGAAAGGAAGACACAAAATATAGAAGGAATACACCGAACTCACCATGAAGTGAAGCCGGCGGACTTCCTCGAAGGCGGAGCACACTCCTGTTGGTCCTGCCCCTTCGGCCCCGGATGAACCAACCTCGGGCGAAGTATATTCACTCGGAGGAACCACCTTTCTGGAACCAAACACTCCGAGAACAGCAGGCTCGGGCGATGTCCTCTCCTCGAAGACACAGGCACGTTGAGCCCCGTTAAAAGCTCCACCGCACTGTGGGTGCAAATCCCATTTATCGCCATCGTCCCTCACCTCGGAGGCGGACGACTCCCTCTCTCCGGAAGAGCACAACCTCTCCCCAAGGAACCGCCCGATACCTGCAACAGCAAAGCCGGTACAAAAGAAAGAGGAAAATGTCATCTTAAATATACGAAGACCAAGGTAGGAGCAGCGTATGCACATACCCTGGTATTTTACTTCCCGTCTGTCACGGGACTCAGCTTGCCACCTACGCTCATCGCAAGTCGAATGAGTCGCCAACTTTCGGACCCAACCGGGTAGATCGAGAACTTTGCCTGACGTCCATGAAGTTGCTGCAAAAAGGAAGGAGACACAATTACTCAACTAGTTTTTGCTATAAGCAAATCTAAGGAAGTACAAGTCACTCCACTCACGTGCGTAATTCCATCCCTTGGGAAATGGCATGAGCTCCACGGGGATAATGTTAGCCGTCCGAACCCGAACGAATCGACTAACCCACTCTTGATCCCCATCTTCCTCATCATCAACAACAAAGGGCGTAGACAAATGACACCGCAAAGTTAACAGGCCTCGGTGATGAAAGGGCCGGTACAGCCTGATGAGGTGGCTAAGCGTGAATTCAAGCCCAGCCTTCTTCGCAAAGAATCTCATCATCAACACCACTCGCCAGAACGACAGATGTATCTGCGCCAAAGTAACCCGATACTTCAAGTAGAAACCAAGCACGACCCTATCAAGGGGGCCTAATGTGAAAGGATATAGGTATACATTCAAGAATCCATCAGCAGAGTCCATAATACTCTCATACGGGGAAAGCACCTGCAGCGTTATCCCCTCGCTCCATCCGCAGTATCTCCTCACCATCTCCAGATGTTCCTCTCTTATCAAAGACACAGTCTTTAGAGTGAACTCCCGCGGATCCTGAACGCTAGGAGTGGAACTTTCCCCTCCCTGTAGGGCCGGCCCCGAAGTAGCTGCCATGGCTATGGTAGAATTGACAGAATAAAGCAAGGACGTGCGCCAACGCTTTTTGCGCCTAAAGAAATGAAGGACCCGATGCCAAGGCGGAGAGATAGCTATCCAAAACAATGAGATCTCCCAAAGAAGCAAAAGCCACCCCATATATGTGGAAAACAACAACGATTCGCCTATCCAAAGTAAGCCCCTGAGGCCATCGGCCTCGGTACAGATCCTGGAGTTGTACCCGACCCCCGAGACCTCTGACAGTAAGCAGTTAGGCTTCAAGGAGCCAACTACATCCTCTCCGGCCCCGAGGTGATGCCCAACCTCGAGGACCTCCATCCAAAAGAAGTCAGGCTTCGGAAAGCCTTCAGCGCCTCCATAGAATTCGAGGCGGTGCCCGATATCGTGGTTTTCCTTTCTAAAAAAGTAAAGTAAGCACTTGAAGCTCCGCCCATGAAGACTCAAGGAGGGCTCAAGGCCTCGCCTAAATATAGGCAACTCCTCGATGGAAGTCTTTCCACTACGCTTTAAAAGGCTATCTACATCAAAGTTCAAAGTAGACCCCAGGTACCCGAAGCTAACCTTCGCTCAGGATACCACTCTCAAAAGCTCCAAAACTCAGCATATTATCTCCGTGCAACTCGAAGGGCCCGACAACCCGAGTCTATCAGATCAATTCAGGCTTGGTCCGAGGTACGTGGATGCGCTCGGAGAAGAGCCATGTCAATCGGCAGAGAATCGGAAAGAACGCTCGCATCCGAGTTAAATATCAGCAGTCAACAACAAAGGAAAACATTCGAAAACCTCGAAGCACACAAGAACATGCAATAATAAGGCAAGTTTCAAGAACAGGAATCAAGGAAGTATCTTTATATTCATGTGTATTCATGTACTGTGAGCACCTAATTTTTGCCCTATATGAAAATAACTCCTAAAAATACACTAAAAATAATTTTTAAGGGATTTTAGAAGTTTTTCTTTATTTAGTTACATTTCATGCATTTTTAATGTTTTAAAATCATAGAAAAATGATAAAACATGCCACGTTTTAATTTCATGTCATCTTAGGTCCAATTTGCATGTAGGAATTAATTTTATTAAGAAAAATCACAAAAAATGGTCATTTTTATATATTTAGCTTTTAGTCTTTAGAAAGTAATATTTTTATTTAGTTTTAAGTTAATTAGTTATTTTAATAGATAAACAATTTTAATTTTTACAAATTAGATTAATTTAGGATTTATTTAGATTTTAAATTCAAAGAAAAAGAAAAATAAAAAAATAAATTTTAATTTAGTCTTCCTAGCCTAAAGTTAATTAGCCCAAGCTCATACCCATTCCCCATTTGACCTGACCTAATTGCTGCACCTAACTCCCAAGGGGAGAATAGACCTAGACCTAACGCCTAAGACCCCTAAGACATCAGATCCGTCGTTTCATAGAGACCCCACCCCCTGTATTTCATCTTCTTCGAACCCCACACCCCTGAAACCAACGACCCCTTTCTCCTTCAGCACACCCAGAGACACAAATCCAATTCTTGGTCTAAATTCGGGTCCTTAGTTGAATAAAAGTCGATCAAGACTACTCCAGCTCAAGCATTTTCTGAATCCTAGAAAAAGGATACAAAATTTGCATGTTTCGAGTTTGTGGGTGTCTTCTTTCAGCTCTATATTGAGTACCCAAAATGAATATGTATGGTAGGGATCCATGAGGCCTATATTTCAAAAGAAAAATCCAGCAAATATATTCTTAATCTGAGTTTTAGTTTTCATATTTGATTGAGAAGTTCAAACAAAGATACATCTTCTGTTTTTCCCTTTTTAGTTCGAAATTTTGTTTTCAAATTATGGGATTCGATCAAGTTTGAAGGTGTTCGAGTTCGTCGCCGTCGAGATCCGGAATCATCGTTTCTTCTCTTTGCACAAATGACAAAAATGTTGGATAGTATAGAGCGTTCGCTCGATTTCTGTCTGTGTACTACTGGAAATTTCATCAATTGAAAGTTCGATTTTCAGTTGTCATAATTGCTGAAGTTTTATTAATTGGAAAGCAATTTCAGATCTGAAAAGGAGATGATCTTCCGAAAATCTGGTCCTTCAAAGGAAATTGTTGTTGTTTTTCTGCTATACCGATTCGCTGTGCATATAAATTTGCTTACATGTACAAAGACATGGACATCTCTGTTGTTGCTGGAATTGAAGCTAGAGGGTCCATGTTTGGTCCATCTGTAGCTCTAGCCATTGGTGCAAAGTTTGTTCCTTTACGCAAGCCAAAAAAATTATCAGGTAAGGTAATTGCAGAATCAAATGAACTGGAGTATGGGAAAGATTGTTTGGAGATGCATGTTGGAGCTGTACAGCAAGGGGACAAAGCAGTCATACTTGACAATTTGGTAGCTACCGGTGGAACGCTCTCTGCTGCAATTAAACTTCTAGAATGGATGGAGGCTAAAGTGGTTGAATGTGGTTGCGTTATCGGAGTGCCAGAGGTCAAGGGTCAAAGCAGGCTAAAGGGAAAGCCTCTCTATATTCTTGTGGAATCGCAGGAACTAGAAGATTTTTTGTGAGGTACGCCTTGTCATTTTCTTCATAGATTCAGTTTAAGAAACAGATTATAGTTCCTAGCTATATTGTAATTTGCATAGAAACACTTGAATTTGTTTTTCTTGCTCCCCTTGTTCTTTTCGCTTTGTGTTGTCTACCTATTTTGATTCTTATTTTGACTGGCTAGTTCTTTACTATTAATAAGAGAATATGATCAAAAATCATTTTTCATTGACTAATTTATTGAAGTTAAACTATGAGGAAGCTTAATACCATCTAGTGTAGAAAATACTTTGGATATTTTGTAGTTTGCTTTAGGCGCGAGTTATAATAAATCATCGTGACTATGGGTACGACTCTCGTGGCATAGTCTCGATACGTAATCCCCAGTTCAGATGTACATTTCATGTGACCCGATCATAACAACTTCGAATACTAATAAAATAAACATGTCGTGAATCGCGGGTGCATTTCATGTAGCGTGGTTTGCAGTGTGTTCCAAAACAGCAAGTGTACGGCAATCGTAACTTGTTCAAGAAATAAATTCCATAAATCCTAAAAAACGATTTTAAATAAATAAAAGCAGTTATAAAGTTAAAATGCACAATAAGTGTAAAACATGTAGTAAATCAGATAATTGGGCCAATTTTAATAGTTAAGCGACCGTGCTAGAACCACGGAACCCGGGAATGCCTAACACCATTTCCCGGGTTAACAGAATTCCTTATTTAGAATTTCTAGTTCGCATGCTTTTAAAATAAAGTCGAATTTTCCTCGATTTGGGATTTTAAAATAAACCGGTGACTTGAGAGACTAAATAAACTATTCCAAGTCCTACTCTGAAAAATTAAATTAAATAATTCCATTTCGATTAATGTAATTTTAATTGGAAAAACTCCCTTATATACCCCCTCGAGTGGTAAAAAGGAGGTGTGACAGCTCTGGCGACTCTGCAGGGCAAAAGAACCCAGAACTTTTGGTTCAGGGTTCAAGAATTCGAGCTTAGAATAACTGTTATACTTAGATTTATTTATTATCTGATTTTTATATGTTTGAGCCTAATGTGCTAAATGCCGCTTTTTACCGCTTTGATATTGTGGAACTGTATAAAAATTGTTATGAAACCCTCTTCTCTCTGAGTCTTCTAAATCATCTAGGAAGTGTGCACATTGTGTGACTTCTTTTCTGTTAGAGTCGTATCCCAATTTTAGAACGAGGTTCGGACATGTTGCAAAGCCGGTTAAATTTTCTTTATTCCTGGTACGCTGCCCCCCTCGGCTCGAGCTATCCGCTGGGGTAAGGCAGGTCTAGAACAAATACACCCAGATTTTTAAACCTAGAATAACATAGCCTAATGCCGGATCCTTAGTAGGAACGCTTGTTTGCATCATGTACATTTGACTTTGGAGACTCAACACATGGGTTGGGTCCGTCTAGGACAGGTGTACCCAAATTAAAAAAGACCATCCTGATGCATCTTACGTGCTACTTGCGTATCTGTTTGCTTCGGCTTGCACGTTGACCATCTTCTAAAATAGGGAAAAAAAAGAGTGGGGCAGGTATTTAAAAATCCTGAAACTCTTTTGAAATTCTGGAGAAAAAGGACAAAAAGAAAGGTCATTTCAAAATGAGACCAAAATCTCAAGTGTCATGTTTCCTTGTTACGTCAAAACTGACCGAACTGCGCGGGTCTGATTCTTACCGGATGTGAGATACGTATGCAAACCTCATCGGTTCAGACCCCAATTTTCAAAAATCCAAAAATATTTTCCTTTAGTTCCTTTTTTTAAAATCTTTCCTTAGAAAATTCAAAAAAAAAAAATTAAACTCAAAAAATAGTTTCCTTCTTTCTGAAGTCTTTCATACGAAAAAAAGGAAATAAAAAAAATCAAAATTCAAAATAGGGGTCTCCTTTATTTTGAAGTATTCTTTTCCTTCTTTAAAAATCTTCCTTTTGTAAATGTCATAAAAATTAAAAAAATTTAAAGTCCAAAAATATTTTCGTTTTTCTTTAGAAGTACTTTTGTAGATTAAAAAAAAACTCAGAAATCCAATTATTTTCTTAAAAGTCCTTCTTTCAAAAATTAAGAGGCAACATCCTAAATAAAAAAAATATTTTCTTTATTCTTTAGAAAAAAAGAAAACAAATGAAAATTCAAACAAAAAAATATTTTCTTTTTTACTTTTAAAATTCCCAAAGTTCAAATCAAAAGCAAATGAATTTTTAGAAGTCTTTCTTTCAAAAATAATAAAAAAACCAAATCAAAATCAAAAAATAAAATAAAATATTTCCTTTCTCTTTTAAAGCATTTTTTTCAAAATTTCCAAAAGAAATAAACAAAAAAAAAGAAGAAGAAAATCGAAAAAAAAAATGTATTCCTTTGGTCTTAAAGCTTTCATGGTCTGAGTTTTATAAAAATAAACAAAAAAATAAAAAAGAGTTAACTTATTTACTCCATTCTCAATCTCCCCGAACTACGCAAGATCTGATTCATGCGGCATCATAATACGTAGGCAATCCCCATCGGATTCGATCATAGTTATAGAATAAACTGAGGAAAAAATAAACCAAAAAAAAAGAAAGAGAAAGAAAAATTGAGTGAAAAAAAGAAAAGAAAAGAGTGAAAAAAGAAAGAAAAAAAGAGAGATAAAAAATAAAAGAGGGACAAAAACAAAAAAGAAAAGCAAAAGAAAAGAGAATGCCAAAAAATAGAAGAGCGGCAGAGACGAAAAAAATAAATAAATAAAATAAATAAATCAAGAGTGATTAAAGAGAGGTAGAAATAAAAGAAAAGAGGTACATACTGAAAGGGTTACGTAAGGCCGGGATGAAACATGCAACCGTTCAAACACATGGTAGAAGCGTTTAACTGTTAGGTGCATTGCATCCCCAACGTGTGATTTCCTATATGTTAAATGTCTCAAAACTAACGAGATTGTGGTGTGAGCAAATTAGCCAGATTCTGTTCAGGTGGTTGGTTTTGTTGGTATGCGGTGATGAACGCTCAACCTTGCACGCGGCCATAACATTATACACAAAATCGAGCTCCACCTCCCAGAAATGCCCATCCTTACCAAGATCCGTATAATCCCTAACCAAATCCCCGATACAATTCTCTCCCAAGAGAGCCTTTCGAAAGCAATAAGTTTACCCATATTGATAAATCATACTCGGGCTTGTTCCAAAAGCTAGTTAGGCGAGGTCTGCTGCAGCCAGAGGCCCAAAACCGGCCAATAGTCGGAATGATTTGTGAAGATGAAGAATTTGATCCGGCACTGAAGTCCATTGCAGCCATTGCCGAGACAGAAGAAAAGCCTAAAAAATGGTCGCTAAGCCTGAAAGTTCCCTATCAGACGGGAATCTCGGTAGCCAGTCTTGCTATCCTTTCTGCGTCCGGATTATCTCAGGGTGTGGTCCGGATGTTCTACTTTATTGTCTTACTTTTCGATGTTAACCCTTCTATCTTTTAAAATTCAAAAAAGAAAAAAATTAAACTCAAAAAATAATTCCCTTCTTTCTGAAGTCTTTCATATGAAAAATGGAAATAAAAAAATCAAAATCCAAAATACGGGTCTCCTTTATTTTTTAAGTATTTTTTTCCTTCTTTAAAAGTCTTCCTTTTGTAAATGTCATAAAATTTAAAAAATTTAAAGTCCAAAATTATTTTCGTTTTTCCTTAGAAGTACTTTTGTAAATTAAAAAAAAACTCAGATATCTAAATATTTTCTTAAAAGTCCCTCTTTCAAAAATTAAGAGGCAACATCCTAAATAAAAAAAATAAAATAATATTTTCTTAATTCTTTAGAAAAAGAGAAAACAAATAAAAATTCAAACAAAAAAATATTTTCTTCTTACTTTTAAAATTCCCAAAGTTCAAACAAAAAGCAAATGAATTTTAGAAGTCTTTTTTTTGAAAAATAATAAAAAAAATTAAATCAAAATCAAAAAATAAAATAAAATATTTTCTTTCTTCTTTAAAAGCATTTTTTTTCGAAAATTCCAAAAGAAATAAACAAAAAGAAGAAGAAGAAAATCGAAAAAAAATGTTTTTCTTTGGTCCGAGTTTTATAAAAATAAACAAAAAATAAAAAAGAGTTAGCTTATCTACTCATTTCTCAATAACTACGCAAGATCTGATTCATGCGGCGTCATGTACGTAGGCAATCCCCATCGGATTCGATCATAGTTATATAATAAACTGAGGAAAAAATAAACCAAAAAAAAGAAAGAAAGAAAGAAAAATTGAGTGAAAAAAAAGAAAAGAAAAGAGTGAAAAAAAAGAAAAAAGGAGAGTGATAAAAAATAAAAGAGTGACAAAAACAAAAAAGAAAAGAAAAAGAATAGAGAATGCCAACAAATAAAAGAGCGACAGAGAAGAAAATAAATAAAATAAATCAGGAGTGATTAAAGAGAAATAGAAATAAAAGAAAAGAGGTACATACTGAAAGGGTTACTTAAGGCCGGGATGAACCATACAACCGTTCAAACACATGGTAGAAGCGTTTAACTGTTAGGTGCATTACATTCCCAACGTGCGATTTCCTATATGTTAAATGTCTCAAAACTAACGAGGTTGTGGTGTGAGCAAATTAGCCAGGTTCTAATCAGGTGGTTGGTTTTGTTGGTATGGGGTGATGAACGCGCAACCTTGCACGCGGCCATAACATTATACACAAAATCGAGCTCCGCCTCCCAGAAATGCCCATCCTTACCAAGCTCCGTATAATGCCCAACCAAATGATCCTCGATACAATCCTCTCCCAAGAGAGCCTTTCGAAAGGAATAAGTTTACCCATATTGATAAATCATACTCGGGCTTGTTCCAAAAGCTAGTTAGGCGAGGTCTGCTGCAGCCAGAGGCCCAAAACCGGCCAAAACCCGAGTCCCCCTTCGCACCGAGCTGATGCTAGATATGAATACCATTTTGGAGCAGTGGGTCACAGTATAGAGGACCGTTGGACCTTCAAATGGGCAATTGAAGATTTGATTGAAGCTGAATAGATTCGTTTTTCGGGACGAAGAGGCTCCTGATGTGGCAAACAACTCGTTGCCTGCTCACAACACCGGACCAATAGTCGGAATGATTTGTGAAGATGAAGAATTTGATCCGGCACTGAAGTCCATTGCAGCCATTGTCGAGACAGAAGAAAAGCCTAAAAAACGGACGCTAAGCCTGAATGTTCCCTATCAGACGGGAATCTCGGTAGCCAGTCTTGCTATCCTTTCTGCGTCCGGATT